ACGTACTAGCTTATTATTCATTTAAGGGCAGCCTCTGGTGGCATGATAGTGTGTTTTGTGACTTAATTAGAACACAATCTTCTATATTGCATATGAGAGACTTGGGAATTTATGTCACCTGTTAGTTTGGGAGAGGTCTTCTCCTGGAGGAAGTTTGCACGAATGTATCTTTGTACCGGTAATGTTAAGTGCTACATCAAGAGTACGCATTCACAACATCATACTTCACGCAATTTTATTTATAAAATCGTAATTATCTAACAAATTGCATATAAAATGATTTACTTCAAGTAAATACAGAATACTGCACAACTATTAAAACTATTGTATTGTCCATCATAAGTGTATTAAAACATTCCTAAAAAATGCCTCTATTAAAAAACAAAAACCCAAGAACACAAGTAGCATGATCAAGACCACTTTCAATAGCTTAAAATGAATTACCAGGAAGTTGCATTGACTTCCTAAGTAGACTCCAGTTACATCCATTGAGATCAGCATGTGATACAATACCACAGCCTAATTGCTAAAGATGACAAGTAATACATTATGTACCTGGTCTATGCTTTTCTCCTAGACTGAAGGTAACCAGTCCAAAATCAGAAAACTAAAGCTCAAGTCAAACTCTACTGGGCATGCAGTTCAGTTATAGAAATACTTTCAACTGGTAAGTGTAGTTGGCTTTTACAATCAATTTTTACAACTGATTAAAAAAAAGGAACACAAGAGAATACATTCGTATAAAAAGGAATGATACATAAAGGGTAAATACCAACACCTTGCCATACACCCCAGGATGAACCAGAGAGATTCAGTTGGAACTAATCTGGAACGTGTGTATCGGGGAGGGGTCTGAGTCACCAAACCGAAATTCCAATCTCCTCAGAGCTCAAGGTAGTATCAGATCCATCTCTACTACGTACACAGTGTGAACATGAACACAGATAAGGATGGAGCTTTTTATTAACACATTTATATTGCTGAAACACAAGAGGCAGCTAGCAGTGCTGCCTGGTTCACATTAGTAGTCACACCACTTATTTTTATACTGTGTGTTAAGGGAGACTTTTCTCTTTTCTTCAAGTGGCAAAATTTGGTAGCTAATGGATCCAACGGGGTAGTTTTATTTTGTTTGCTTTAGACAGTTTCATGACCAATTACAAATATCTGAAAAAGTTTCAGAGAGAAAACAAAGATGGGGGGGAAGAACTGGAACCTTCAACAGCACTCAACACCTGTTGCAATCTAATCTCCTTCCTAGGTGTTTGCAGAACTGCCATTTCAATGCACCCAAAAGGCACACAACAGCAAGAAGGGAAATGGAATCAAAAGTTCACACAAGAGTTTCTCTTGTAACCAGCGCTGTCAATCAGAATCAATTTTACCAAGGGCATCTCTGAAGTAGTAAAAACACAGGAACAACGTTCAGGATGGTTCTTATAGCACCATGTGGCGTCCTGCCGCAAGTGATGGCAACCTCCCACAACTGGTAGGGGGTGCTGAATCCGACCCCCCGTTTTACAGTCTAATGCTGTTCTAACTCCAAGTAGCAAAGGGAAAAGGCAAGGGAGGTCCTGCTACTAACCCGAGGGTTTTACCTGCCCGCGGGGCCTGGTGCAGCTCGGCTGGGGAGACACTAGAGGGCAGGCGGTTAAAGGACTCCCGCCTCACCTCCGGGGCGAGGTGAGCTGGAACCACCACCACTCGGTTATCATCAGCAAACTCTGATGGTGGACACCTTTCACATCTAGAATAAACACTTTTAGGCTGAAAAGCAGTCATGTGCAAGAATCATTTAATCTGCATGCTACTATTTACATTTCAAACACTATTTACACACCAGAACTACAATTAGCATCTCTCTCAAAGGGGAGAGAAGGCGGCTTTCAGGACAGTACACTTGAGCAAGCATCTCCACAGCTTCAAACTCTAAGGGGCACAATCAAAATTACAGGTTTTGAAGCAAAGAGATCCTACTGCTACTGAAACAGACACACAGAGGCAAATCAAACATTTGTCCGTTAGGCTATTAAAAAAAAAAAAAAGAGATCAAACAACAGAAAAGCCTGTGAATATGGAGAGTATTTAGAAAGCAGAGGAGCAAGGACTGTGATGCCGTTTGGCAGGGCTCAGTGGGGAATTTGGAAATGGCTTTAAAGCCAGGACTACTGCAGAATCTACCAGATCTCTCGTTAGTAATGCCACCATCCCATATGAATCGCCCAGCAAACAGAGCTGTTTCCCATTCCACCAGGGCTGCAAGCCTGACAAATTTCTGAACAACTACTGCACATTAATTAGGCTGACCTCTGAACTCACATGTACCCCACCACCACACCAGGCAGGCTAGAAATTGCCAAGAAGTCATACCGCCTACCATATCTTATTGCTTTAGAAAATGAGCCCATGTAGCCAGCAGTCGTGCAGTTGCAGCTCACCTGAAGTTTTCACAAAGTTTTCTGGAAGAAAGCTTGCTCGCATTTGGCAGGCTCTGACAATAATAGCTGGATTCCCAAGGCCTCCCACAAGCTTTCCAAACTGGACACCTAAGCTGCTGAGTAGCTGCTGATGGGGCATTTCTAGGACATCTGTAGACAAAAAGTGTGGGATTTAAAAGTGCAATACAGACAGCTAATCCTGAACATTCAGTATGCATCCATCAAACAACTGCAAAAATGAGGAAGATAAGAGCATCTCTTGGGAACGGGGAAGGGGGAAGGATCAGCATCGTCAGCAATAAAGGCAAGCTTTAGAAAAATAAGTTATTTAGTGGTTTTTGTAAGAACAATCAGTCATTCTGGGACTCAGCAGAAGTGTTGCACAGTTGTGTACACACGTGCAAGTAGTGAGAACAAGATTTGCTCACCTCAGAGCATTTACCTTCCTATCAGTCTGACACTGCCAACAACACATCCAGCAGACCGGAACTCAGAGAACAGCATGACAAGACAGAAGGCCAATGCAGTACAACTGCAGAAATTCAAGTAGAATGAAGGTGTCTTCAGAAGCCCACAGCAGCAACAGCAGCATTCAAGATCAGTGGCAACAGGGATTGTTTCTGTAATGTAGGCTTTTTTTTTTTTCTCCAAACCAAAGCACTGGGTCAGAATCAAGGCTCTTGGGTGGAGGGGTTACTTTCTCAGCCACACGTCCCTAATTTCTCACCACACCATTTTGCCTCAGTGCAGCAACACTGGTAGGAATGATCTGTCTGTCCTGCTGCTGTCAGGCAAAACGGTGTGTCCCTTTGGGGAAAACAAACACCAGTAACTCCTCAAGTTGAGGAGCAGCTAAGAAAAACGTAACACTGTGGTGAGGTGGAACCAACTTTATTAAGGACAGTGAATTATAATTGCTTTCAAAAGCTTTGAAAAAAAATTACTGAGTCATGGCTGGCCTTTCACAGGAGATACCAAAGGATATGGAGGCTGCCTGATTCAGAGCCAGTCAGTGGGAGTTAACCAGAAGAGGATGAGGTAATGCTCAAAGACAGGAGGACAACAGGACTGTCTGAGGCATCTGTGGAGCACCGATGTGCCTACCACCAGCCTTCAAGGGAAGAAAAAAACATGGTCAGCTAAAGCACAGAAAGGCAAAATGTGCAAGGGTACATGTACTCACATCTTTAAGAGTCACAGGACCAGAAAGGACCTTAATAGGTCATCAGGCCAGCCTTCTATCCAGAACAAGGAAGCTTTGAAAGCAATGCATTCATCTCTTCTACTCCCCATACTTCCTATTAGGAAATTCATCTCAGAAAGATGCTAGGCTCTTACAAAGAAGTGCTACACACCCTTTGCCACTGTCTGATGAAAGCAGGAGCCAAGAGCTAACAGCTTTCAGGACTGGTTCTGCAGGTACTGAAAAGGGTCATACAACAAGCTAAATTTATACAAAGTGCAATAAAACTACCCAAGCCATGGTCAGGTTTGTAAGTTCACTATTGTTAGTGAAGAAGAACGAATCAAAAACTCTAAACTGGATGGAGTCTGATCTAATTCTTCTTCCGCTATTTGTGCTTTATTCCAAATTCTCTTTTATCCAATTCAAAAGAGTCTGTCTTGGCTGATCCTAATACGTGCTTCTATTTTAAAACTTTTATTCCATTGCTTCAGGAAAACTTTTTGTTGCATTTAGAGCAACAATGAGAGACACATCTCCATAGCAAAGATTTGTTCACTGGTGGTAAGCATTTACCCTGGCAAAAGCTGTTCTCTCCACCTTCCAAGGGAATGGGATATGATCTTTCCATAATCACATGCATTTTCCAATAAGTAAGTTTGGATTAGACTGTATTAAAACATATGCACAGATTTAAAGCACTGGAATGTCACAGATTCTTACTCCACAGCTCATGCAAGTAAAACAAATTAAAGGAAAAAAAAAAAGACCAAAGCCTCAGCTAGGAACAGACCAAGGAATTATCTTAAAAGAAGTTTTGCACAAGTATATCAAAGCACTAATATCAGTGAGATCCCTAAATACATTAGGTTACACTAAATTACAGAGAAACAAAAGATTTAGCCATATCAGATACATATGCTTTGATTTTTTTTAAGTTAATATATAATTCATTCTCTGAATAATATTCTTCACTTGGACCCAACATCCACACTGCTTTCATACATTTATACAGTTATATCCCATCCTTGCCTTAAGAGACTGATGTCCTAAGGTATGGCAGCAACCAAAGGCTCTACAACCCTTGTTTGTCAAATATAAAACTCCTTTCCCTTCGTACAAGGGTGGAGAAGGAAGAAAGATTTTGATAAAATTAGGCAATTCTCCCTGTGATTGCTGATTCCAACCTCTAGGTACTACAGGGAGACGTTTGGAAGCTTGCATTAAAAAAAAATTCCCTTGTTTTAAAAACTATTTCTTTTACTGTACAATAGATGCATAGAAAGTTGCTTCCTGCTTGATGGATTTAGGCCTGTAGCTATGTTCAGCTGTGAAAACAAGAAGATTGTTCCTTTACAGAGTGGTGAGGAGAGAGACCATCTCAGGAATATTTGGCAGCTATCGAAGAGCTCATGACACAAAGAATAAACAGCATATCCACAGACTACAACGATGCAACTCTGTCCCATCGAATACACCAATTTAAAAAAGTGTCCACTTTTTACTCAGGATCAAGAATACAGTAGAGATTCACGGCTCAACAGCTTTCAAACTGGTGGTTTAAAAGAAAAAAAAATTGTCAGTGAGCAGCAGATTTTAAACAGCCCACTCTTCTCTCCCCCACCCCAAAGAAACACGAGTTCACTGCAATATCAGGAACTTAGACTTGAGACTACTTGGGAGAGAAGGCTTCCCTGTCACCCATGTCCATGCAGCTTGGTGTCGGAGCGACACACTGGAGGTTTCAGAGGGTTTCGGTTGTCCAGTGTCTTGTTGTGGTTACTTCAGCAGTTTTACCAGCTGGCTCTGACAGCCTCAATGTCACTAACCAAATTCTGGGCTAAGCATATCCCAAATATCTGGAAGAGACAACAGTTTATTAATTTTGAGCATTGGACAACTCTTTTCACACAGGCAAACTCCTTAGGTTATACAGAACTTTGATATGAAAACAAGCAACAGAAAGTTAGAAATCAAATTAATAGTAAGTGTTGAAAGAAGGAAGAATATCAAAAAACTCCTGTAACCCCAGTATTTTTATAGTGCCACTGAGTTCCGTGAATTTGAACAGCAAATTTGAATTCACTGAATTTCAATTTGAGTTCCGTGAATTTGAACAGACTTGCTTCACACAAACAACTGTGAAGGCTTTTTGCTGCTCCTTTAAGCACCATCAGAAACAGTAGGTCTGTACAGGCTTAAAAATCTCTACCTAATGTTTATCTAACAGACTGTTAGTTTTGATCTGCAGACAGACAAAAAAAATGCATCCCTACAGATAAAAATTAAATATTCCTTAACACAAAGAAAGCCTCATGCATTTAGCTCCCCTCTCTAAAACCTACAGACGATATATTTCTAAGTGCAACTGACACTGTATTCCCAGTTCTCATATACAGTTCCCCCCTCATACATTCTATTTATCTGTTGTTCTTCTGTGTAACTCATTACAGGGAATGTGATGTTTACCTGCAGTAATGCTATCCCAATGAATATACCGGCAACTATGGTAAGATTGTCCTGCAACCATTTCTCAAACTGAGGGACACAGCCTTTAGTGTAGATAACAATCTGCTGATCAACTTCCTGCCAAGGAGAAGAGGGAAGAAAACAGAGATAATTACATCCAACTATCCCATCAGTAGAATAATCTGCTCTTGCAAGAGGAATTCAATCCTTAAGATACAATATTAAAAAAATAAAATGCTTACTGGTTTTTGCCTTGCATCGTAGCCACACTGAGTATTAATAACATCTTCCTAGGAGAGAGACACAGAAAAGAGGCAATCAGTGAAGTGTCCCCCAGACACCCTCTCCCCACTGCCCAGAGTTGGTTCTGTGTGTAATAAGACAACCATCCTAACGTTGTTTACCACACTGCTTTTTAAAAACCCTTTCATCTTCCATTCAGTGCTATTAAATATTTGCCACAAACAAAAGCCCATGGTCAAAAAGTACTTTCAGCTCTCAGGGAAGCAAGCTGGCGAAACCAGCCCTCCACCTGGATGAGCTCCATGTTCCAGATGCAATTCAGAAGTCAAAGTGAAGGGACTAGGGAACATGTATTTTAAGTGAAAGAACCTTCTGCTGAAAAGCTTTTGTCTATACTGAAAAATGTGCCAAGGCTACTGTTAACGTTTTCAGGCTTCAGTCTGTGCAGCGTGAAAAGATGAGAAGGGGCAGTTCTGCTGCAGAAGCTGCAAGTTCTTACCAAGGATATCTGTAGAAATATATACACTGTACCTAGTTCCTTTTCAAAAACTAGGGAGGAAAAAGAAGAAATGCGGTAAAGTGTTCTTACTGCCTATTCTTTCTCACAGGAGCTTGATACCAATGGGAAAGGAGGGGTTTTTTTCCTACTACCTCTGCTTTAGTACTCCCAAAGCACAGGTAATAAAATAGGCTACGGCAGACTTTTCCTAGTGAACAAGTGCTACCCATCAGAAGCTGAAGCTGCATTTACTCTGTATACAAAGTCATTTCAAGGCAATAAAATGAAGCAACTACTTTTGGTGTCAGCCACAATAGCAGCAAAATACTGCATTAGTAGCTCATATAATAACGGTAAGCAGAAGAAGGAGCTACTCAAGGAAGTGAGAAAACCAGCCAATCTTAGCAAGGTGTACTGAACACCACAATTTAATCAAATTGTGGGAAGTGAGAAAGGCAACCAGCAGAGAAATAGATTTTTAAAAGCAGCCATACGGAAAAAGATATCTCCTCCTATGAACAGTTAAAGGTCCTCTAAGCATTTCCTCACTTTGCAGGAAGTATATCAACAGGTTGCATCCTGTCAGTTGCCCAAGCTGGATTCCCTCAATCGACCTTTAAGATTTGAGCAATTTCTACCTTTTAATGACATGAATGCTTCTCTTCCAGGATTTAAAAATGTAACAGTGCCACAAACTTCAAGGCTGTAAAAATAGGTAAGATTCCAACACAGGAATTTTAAGCTTTCTTCTTTGTACTGAATGCCTACTTGCTTTATCATCTGTGCTTCTGCCTTTAGCTTTGGAATCCATTAACCGAAAGCAAGCGCGAAGAATGAAATGGAAATAAATCAACTTTTCTAGGCCTTGCCTGTACAGGAATTTTGAACACGTCAACCTGCTAAACTATAGAAAAATGAACTATAGGAGTCCAAATTTGTTTTAAAGGAGACTTATTTTGGCCTACCTTAAACTTAACTGCTTCCTAATTCAAGCTAAACTAAAAAAGTAAGTCCTGTTCAATAAAGCATCCACATAATGTTTTGCATCAGTCCGACACTGCATCCTAATTCCAAAAGGACAATTTTGTTTTTTCTCAGAATAAACCTGTGTTTTATCATGGCAATTGAACCAGTCACAGGTTGGTTACAATTATATCCATTATATGCACGACTTCTAATATTTTTAGAAATATTATTATTCTTAGTCTTTATTTTAAAGGCAATTAAGCATGTTACTTCCCTATAATGAGACTTAACTTTAAATTTCTGGTTGCTGCAACACCCCCTAAGAAACTGCATAACCATATACACAGAGAGAGAGAGAGATAAGTTTAGCATGGATTATGTATTTATAAGATTACCTTGTACTGCTGTCACTGTTTCGGTTTTATAACAACTATATTTTTAAAACTGGTTTGTGATGACCTCTCTGTGTGGGTGGGTGGGCAGATAGGCAAAAAGTAGGGGGTATTCTAAGCATAATGTAATGCTTGAGCCTAACCTACATTGTGTTTTAATATTTCATTAAAACATTTTCAGCAAATGTTTGTGAGAAAGATTCTAACTACTGTTAAGACATGTTCACTGCAGAGAAACCAGAATGCAGCTTGTGCAAGTGGCAGTGCCTTATCAGGAGAGGGGGAGAGCAGCAGTAGTGACTGGATGCCAGGAGCAGCAACTGTGTTGCATTAGCAAGGCAGGAAGCACCTGAGGTGCCTGTTGGCAACTTACCTAACTTCCATCAGTGCCACAGACTCATACGTTCAAAGAACTGTAAGTCACTCCAGGTGGAGAAAAAGCCACAGCTGAACTACTAGATAATACAAGCACTCACAGGCTGCTTCTTTTAAGCTATGGGAAGGTCGAATGTATGCAGTGTTAGCCACTTTAAGAGTTTCCATGCACACACTCATCCCTATTCCAGTGAACTGCTTCCCTACACTCTACCCTTCATTCTTGATCATGTCCATAGTAGTAATGCAGTGCTCCAACATCCTCTGCCTGATGATCCAGAACTGAAACTATTTAAAAAGACATAAAAAATGTACCAAAAAGCTGCTCCATCAAACATTTTCTGACCTTTCAAGTCTGATCTCAGATGACTGTATGACAAGCAGTAATTTTAAAGGGAAAAAAAGAGAATGTAAAGATGACCATACCCAACTCAAGATTCTAATGCAATCATATGTCACAGTTCTTCAAAAGAACCCACGCTCTCAGCTGCGTTTTCCTCTTTCAGTCAAGTTGCCTCTGAGTGCATAAATGACGCAAAAGTTTGCCTGTGATAATTCTCTTCTGCATTAATATCTATTTGATGCCATCAAAAATGTCTTTTTATTTAGGATTAAGTTCTGTTTTCCTCTAGAGAGTATTGATAAAAACTCACATCTGTGGTGGTGTATGCCATCTACACATGCATCTTATGGACTGCGTGGGGTAACATCAATCGTGATGAGTGATCTTACTGCAGAGTAGTGGCCCTATTGTGCATGGCAAAAGGAGCCCAAGCAGGCATACAAAGGGCTTTCTGTTTGATTTATTCTCCCCCCCCCCCCCCCCCCGCGAAGTAATGCTGGACAAAAACGGGTTTGAAAAATGTCTCATGTACTCAGACACTATCGTGATTAATTTGGTGTAAGCATCAACGAAGAACAATGGGCAGAGGATGAAGAAAGGCACCCTGGGCTTAAATGCAGCTGTCTCATTTTAAGCTGAAAGAAACGTCTCTCCTAGTGTCTGAAATACAGACCTGGGTGGAGGGAGATCAGACTTGAAACAAGTCTGACACAGATGCTTAACTGTGAATATCTTCCAGTGCTTTGCTGAGTATTGCTGGGTTTTGGAATATATGCTGCTCTGACGAGCATGTCACAGTGAATGAAAATGCTTAAAATGCTTCTCAGTCTGCAGATGGAGTCTGCTTTGTAAATCATGGGAATTGTTTAAAAATCCTGAGCAGATGCCTAACATGCTGCTGGTATGGTAGGGGTTAACTGGGACATCACCTTCTGGTCCCCCTAAGTGGGCTCATTTGCCATGGTGTGTCTTCCAACACCTTTTTGGGGCAACCCCCTCTATCAATACAGGCTGGGGGATGAAGGGATTGAGAGCAGTCCTGCCAAGAAGGGCTTGGGGGTACTGGTGCATGAAAAGCTGGACATGAGCCGGCAATGTGTGCTTGCAGCCCAGAAGGCCAACTGCATCCTGGGCTGCATCAAAAGAAACATGGCCAGCAGCTCAAGGGAGGCGATTCTGCCCCTTTGCTCTGGTGAGACCCCACCTGGAGTCCTGTGTCCAGCTCTGGAGCCCTCAGCACAGGAAAGACATGGACCTGTTGGAGCGGGTCCAAAGAAAGGCCACAATAATGATCAAAGGGATGGAACACCTCTCCTATGAAGAAAGATTGAGAGAGTTGGGGTTGTTCAGCCTGGAGAAGAGAAGGCTCCAGGGAAACCTTATGGTAGCCTACCAGTACTTAAAGAGGGCTTACCAGAAAGATGGGGACAGACTTTTTAGCAGGGCCTGTACCAATAGGATGAGGGGGTAATGGTTTTAAACTAAAAGAGGCTTGATTTGGGCTAGATATAAGGAAGAAATTTTTTTACGAGGGCTCTGAGCAACCTGATCTAGTAGAAGGTGTCCCTGCTCATTGCAGGACAGTTGGACTAGATGACCTTTAAAGGTCCCTTCCAACCCAAACTATTCTATGATTCTTCAGGGCACAGGCTGTCATTCCTTAGAATACCTAGTGCAAACAGGGTCAAACTTGCTGCAGTCTCTGGACACTGCATTAAATAATGAGTAATACGTGCTTTAGAATGTTTTATCTTAGAGTTGCTGTTCTTTAAGGCAGCAAATGAAATATCCTGATGATATTCAGTTGAAAGCTCATATCCTTCCACTCATTAAGGGCTTCTGTTTTTTATACTTGCTAAAATTAATACATATGTTTAGCCAAGCCCATGGTTCTCTCATTATAATGAAAAGCAGCAAATAGCATACAATGAAGACTTAAGTTAACCCAGTATTTTTGCTGACTACAGAAAAGTTAGTGATTAAGCTGAGCTGCAAGGTTGGTGAGAAGGTAATGATCATGCAGGACTTCCAGGGGGGAAAAAAAAAAAAAAAAATCTTATGGAGTGATTTAAAATTGCAGACCCATCCTACCCTCTTGAGACCGTCACTTACAGCAGGGTCTTTAGTGCAGCAAGAGAATGGCACACCACAGCGCTCTCGACTTGCGTTGGAATCTGTGCAGTTGAAGTAAATATTAAGGTTCCAGTCATCAGCTCCAAAAGCCCCACAGCACTGCCACTAGAACAAAGAAAAGAGAGCTTCTTGACTTTCAGAACAAACAAATCTCATCATTAATAACATCCATCATCCCTGCCAGTTTCCCTCTAGCTTTCAAAACAAAATCTGAGATTCCCTCTGGTTTCATTGAAGCTATCCTGTTTTTGTCTTTTAAAACAAAAAGAACATTCCAAACCTGTAAGTTGTTCTAAAATTATCATGTGATTAAAGCTATGTTCACAGCCTCCAATGCTGCTCTCTAGAGAGAAACCCATGGAGTGGGCCAATAAGCCTACACAACACCAGAGCTGCACAGGCCTACAAGCTCAGGCCCCGAGGATAGTAGAGCCAAGAGTATGATACTCTGTCCTGTCTAATGTGCCCTAGGTTCTCAGCAAAACTAATCAGCTTCGAGGGCTACACTGGTATAGCTGCTCCTTTTGCCAGTTTGGGGAATCTTTGCCTGTCTGTACATCAAACAGTGTGAAAACATTGTTTCCTGAGCATCACACATTGCACAAATAACATCTTTACTGTAGGCAGGCAGAATCCTTCAAAAAGTAAATATACCAAATAGTAGGCTTAGGCTCTGGCAAAACATGCTGAACACACAAAGAATGGACTGGAGATCAGTGGAGCACTGATGGTTTACAGCATTTAAGGAGCTAGCCCAATGAACCCATCTATGTAATCTTAAAAAAAAAAAAATTAAAAACCCCCAAACAAACCACATTTTAAAAAGCAATAGAATGGCAATTCTCTTTTTCTAGGTGTAGCACAGTTCCCTCTGCCATACCTGAATATGTTGTCTTCGAGTATTATCTCTACTTGCTGAAAAAGTAGCTAGCTCTCCAGACTCATGCTGTCTCTGACTTAGCAGATAAGAGTGCTAATCCAGTTAGGAGAGCAAGTTTTTTGTAGAGCCTGCAAAATTGGACTGTAGCCTTTTGGTTGCATACAAGTGGACTACTGCTTTCAGACTGTGGTGACTTCTGACCTCGTCCCACCTGGACAAGATTCAAACAAGTGCAAGGATCCACATCCTGTTACTTACTTACTTGTCTTTTTTCCCCCCTCAATGCATATAGAAGCAAGTCAAACATCAAATGAAATTATTTTAATTGCAGAATGTACAAAAATTAGTAAACATGATTTCAGCCAACACTTAACCATGTTAGCTACACAAGGCCAAATTCAAAGAGGAGTTCATCAACACATGCCACAATTGAGTACTGGAGCAAGAAGGTACTGGCAAAATAACTTGTGTTCGAAAGTCAGTGCAAGACTCCTTTACACACACTGATAAGTTACAGAGCTTAACCTGTACAAGTGTGTGCATCTCTGGCTTCACCCTTCCCTCTGAAGCGCAGATGTAGCGTCATCTGGAGATTTCCTACGAGAACTTTGAGTTGCCCACTTCATTAGGTTAATTGCATTACATCTACTTAGAAAGAAATAACATTCTCATTTCACGGACACCAGCTAAACATCTCTGCCACCTGCAGTGTGGTGTAGCACCTCTAACATTATAAAGCTACATCAACATTCATCTCAGAACCAAATTAAACTTTGAAAATTATTATTTTTTCAACAGATGTGATAGCTCCTACAATAAAATATTTTATAAAATATTTTGGACACCAAGAACTCTAAAATATCTTCATAAGCATATGGAACATGCTCCAAAAAACTGAACACAAAACACTGATGGTTAACTTGTGGATTTGACACACTATCTCTAAGTCTTCAAGAATAGGTCATCCCAACTCTCCACCTTGTTTTGCTCAGTCACACATCAACAAATAAGCCATTTTTCACAGGTGCTTTGTGTTTGTAGAAGTTCTATAAAGAGAAATATACATACATAGATTCAAAAGCATTATAAGGTAGAATATTTCTGTTATTGTATCTGAAGAAACCACACAGATGGAAAGTAAAAAAAAATAGATGAGATTTCTTTACAGTAAGCTTTACAAAAAATAAGCACAGTCAAACTTACATATTCCTGTGTGAAGTCTATGAGGTTTTGCAAATCAATGTCATCTCTGTATGCTCTGATGTTGTTGTTTATAAAGAAATACAGCTGGTCCTTTATCCAGTCTTTGAAAACAAATGCTAGAACACCAGCAGTAAGCTCCAAGAAGAAAATGATTCCAAGAAACACAGAAAACTATGAAGAAAAAGAAAAAAACTTTACATTATTTTGCTTTATGACCAAAAACTTACTCTTCAAGGCTCACAATCATGTCCAGTGTTAGGGCTTTATCTGTTTCAGTGCAAGTTCAAGCTATGCCAGCACACAGGAAATTTTACATTAAAAATACACCATTTTTCATTAGGGCTGTAGTACAGGAATCTTAACAAACAATAAAAATGCCAACAAATTCAAACTTTGGACATTTCACTGGGATTTTCAAAGGAGTCCAAGAGTTTTCATTGTAAATTTCAACAGGGATGGCTATTCACCACCTGTAGGGCCCTCTGAAAACTCATCTTAAATTTCTATGTAGGCACTTACATTTTCAATAAACAACCAAATACCAATTGGCATAAACAACCAATAGTGCCAGTGACATGCTTTCTAAGTGACTTTTTCTTTAGACACCCTCATTGGTAAAGCTCTGCCTAAGCAGACAAAGCAAAAATGGTAACAGCAGAAATTAATTAATGACTAAGTCTGAGCCAAATGACTATGGAATGACTCACATGCACATTAAAACCAAATGAGGCTGCTATGATTAATGCAAATGCAATGGATGCCAAAGGCATTACTAATGATCTGCCACTTTCTCTAAGCATCTCTGAGTCTACACTGTTTTAAACACACAGGGGTCCTCGTATACTGGAAGTCCATCCCTTTTGCAATTGTGCCTTGGAGTTTCATTTTAACATGCTCTCTATGTTTGTTCAGATGCATTTTTAATTTCTCTTGCAGCTGCTGTATAGGAAGCTATTGCTGATACAGATGGGTTCATTTTGGGCAAGCTAAGAGAAGCAAAGAAGAGGAGAAAAAAAAAGGTTACAATAGCTCTTTCCCCTCCCTTTTTTTTTTTTAAGTGAGACAAGAGCAAGCTAGAACTATCCCAAGCTGCTTTATAAATGCCTCAAGAACTGTAACTCTCAACTGCCTCCTCCCCTTATACAACATGTCTGTGGGAGCCAAATCTGTCACTTGAAAGCAGTTGTTTCACAGGAAGCCTTTCCATGTATATATTAACAGTTAATGGTTATGAAGACACAACTACTACCCAGGCTGTGCCCAACTCTGGAAGTTGGGGTGGTGGTGGAAAGAATCTTTAATTTTTATTATAAATCTTAAATTTATCTGAAATGCAACTCAGCTTCAAAGCTCACAGGAGGAGGGCTTTCAAAACACAGAACCAGGCTACTCAGCTGAAGGAGTTTTGAATACTGAGGTATATCAGCAGCTCCTTCCCCAGCTAACAGTCCAGCCCAGAGTTCAAGATGACAACTTCTGTTTTCTTTACCGATCCTGGGCACATTCTCCTCCCTTCCTCCCCCTCAGGCCCCAGCACTGACAGTAAGCAATGAAGCCTTTCCAAATTAGCTAAACGGTACAGAACTGAAGATATCAGCAAGCAGCCCCTCACAACAGTCCTATCTCCTCTGTACCATGAGGGGCACTGGCACAGCAGAAATCACATGGGTCACATTTAGTGGTGTATCTATATTTCTCATATTTCATAGGCAGCTTGTTATGGACTCAAGTTTTAACGTGCCGATTCTTAGCAGAAATTTCTCTCTTTTCATGGCAGGAAAGCAAAATGTTAGGCTATACCCATATGAAAAGCAGTAGTTCCATGTTATGGTTCTTACCATCAATAGTTTCAAACCTTAAAAATAGGCATTAAGCGCCAGAGAGTGAAGAGCTGTAAAGTGTTAACAGTTAAGCAAAAAAGATCCACAGAACAGTACTTTCACATCAGGTAACACCTTCCTCCCCAAAAGACATTTTAAAATCTTTACACTGTTAAGCAAGAACAGAGAACATGACTTACGCTACATAACCGATGAATGCCACAGTTGCAAAGGTTACTTACAAATTTGAGAAGAAAGGTATTTTCTCGCAAAGCTCCAATGCATCCTGCAAATCCCAAAATGAACATAACTCCTCCTACCACTAGGAAGAGCCAAACTGGATCAAAGCCTCCTAGGTCGGTGATGGAGGAGATATTGGACAGCACGCCCTGGGAAAGAAACAATGCCAAGGGATAACAAGTATGTTCAGTTTCCAGTTGTACAAATTCTGCTTGCATTTTTCTTTTTCAAAAGGTAGAAGACTACAGCAAATAATGTTATGCAATACAGCAAGAAAACACAATTAAGAAAATCTTTGCATTCAAAAAAAAGAGATAAAAAGGGTGATTATGTACAATATTTCTGAATCAATATGTGGAACGAACAACAAAATGGGCTTCTAGAGTCCTCTGCAAGAAACCCACAGGGCATTTTACTGCTTCTGTAGCAATGAGAATTAGTCTGCCAGAAAGTCTGAATAGATACTTGAACAAAACTTAACTCAATCCTATTACCCATGCTGAGATGCATTTTAGGTATCATATACATTGTTTATGTAAGCACACAGTTACACATGTTATGATAGGAAAAGCAGTCACTAGCAAGAACATCACCTTATATTTAGCATTTATGTTCAGTATTTACAACAATTGACAGAAATTACAAGTGAGCTCCTAGGTTGCAGCATCTTGCAACAACGAATTTTACACCAAATTTTGACAAACTAGATACCCGGCCAATTTAACTACAGGCATCCACAGTGCCAAAAACTCATATAAATAAAGTACAGCTACTGACTAATCAGTTAGCAGGAAAAATTTTAGAATAATGTTAAGTCTCTTAGTAGGACATAAGGCAGTTTAAGGACTTTTCTTGGGAGATGATTTGACCTATCATTTGGTAAACCACATATGCTGTGTTTTAGATATGACAGTCAGCACAGTCTGCTTGTAATGCCATTGCCCCCTTTAGAAGCAGAGTTTGGGTTGTGACGCCAGCAATCCCGAGGAGCTTTTTTTTTTAAACACATTTTAACCAGAGTTTGGCTGATGTTGAACAGATGAGTCATATCAAGAAGCAAGTACAAAGTCTTCCTTATTCCAGTGAGTTTGCACAGGAGCATTTACAATTTCCTAAACCGTTTTGGCAGCAAAAGAGCTGAAGAACCACTATGTCTTCATTCACCTCCCCAGTGCGGCAGGTCAATGCTAAGTACACTGTTTTAGCAGACATTTCTCCATGTGTTTCCTCAAAGAAGCCTGAACCCAGGCTGAGTGCTTTGAACTGCTGCTTTCC